TTATGAGCTCTTATGTATGACACTTTATCAAAAGCTTTTTAAGAATCTTAGCATACCAATATTCATATCATTTCCATTGTGCAGATAATTTGTAACAACCTTGAAGAAAGTTAACAGATTTGTAAGACATGATTTGCCTTTGGAGAAACCATGTTGGCTTTTATTTATAGGGTCATATTTCATAAAATGATTTTGTAAAGCATATTTTATCAGATCCTATAGAATTTTTCCCTATTAAGAAGTAAGCAAGACTTCTAGTTCTGTAACTTACAGGGCAACTCTGTCACTCCCCTTTCAAAAATAGGAGTAACATTAGCAACTCTCCAATTCTCAATTACTTGTAAACTGTCTAGTGATCTACCAAACTAAGAGAATTTGTATGTGATATTTGACTTCCTTTAAAACCTTGCAAAAAATCTTGCATGATTGTGTTGCTTTATGAATTTGTAATGGCCTCGTAACGATCACAAAAAATATGAAATAAATCTAAATAAGCCTTTTTTTTTGTAGAATGATTGTAGATTGTAACACAAACTTACAATTATTATCCTAAAAAGTGTAAGGTTCATAACAATTCAACTCTATGTTTTATTTAATTTTATTGGAACTGTGTCTACCATCTGAGTATGTGGTAGAAGCTGTACTGCACATGTTAAAACTTTGAACATAACATAGGGGTTGTTATAAAGCACAGTTTAGCATAAACAGATGTCACATGAGAAAACTTTTAACTTTGGTTCATTGTGCTGACCAAAGAGAACTAAAACCCATGTGTGTAAAACAGTACCTCAAACAAAATGTCTCTTTGGGGGGGCAGAAAAATGCAAAAAAAGAAAAAAGAAGTGTAAGAGGGAGAGAGGAGCATCAGATAGATTATTTCAAACAAGCAAAATTATCAGTCCCCAGTAATGGAAAAAGTTTAAGTTAAACTAGCAAATATATTCATCCCCACAGACTTTTAAAAAGGTTAATTGTGTTGGTTACACTCTTGGTTTCCCTCAGAGCCAAAGCTCTGAGCTAATTATACTGCCCACTGCGAAAAGTAATTGTTGAACATTTCACACATAAAGGCTAGACTATTTCACAGTCGTTAACAAAGATGTTGTCATTAGCATATTTTAATGTCTTCATTTTGACATTTTGCTTACCTTTAATATACTTAGGGAAAAAAAATAAAAGTTGCCAGATGTTTCTTGTAACTCATTTTGATTTACTAATTCCTTTTGAATCAAATCTCTAACTTTCCTGTAGTTTTTTTAAATTTTCCTTCCTATCTATCAATTTAATCTTCTTTAGCTTATGGTATTTATCTTTTAATTTTTCCTTTATGTCATTAGTAAGTCTATTAGGTTTGATCTTCCCTGTTGTACTTTTGTTTTTGTTTTAATTTTAGGAACATGCCTATGTTGAGTTACCAATTTATTTTAAAGAATTTCCCAAATCTGTTCTGCATCACTTTTTCACCCATTAGTCTAATTCACTCTTAAAACCAGAGAGAAAAGCAATCTGTTCTAATTTGTGCCTTAAACATCACCAGATCACTATTTGAATAGATGTCTTACTAAGGTATTATTTACTGGGTTTATGGTTTTACCTTTTTTGTTAGTTTTAATAACATTTATTACTCTTTAGACAGAAAACACACACAATAACAGGGAACCTGTTCAACCATGTTAAGATGTTTTCAGTCAATTGCTGGAAATTTTTGTCTTCCCAAATTTGTAGTGCATACTGGAGGGATTTACACATTTTGGTAAAAGTTTAGAAAAAATGACCTTTACACTCTGTGTGTTTTCAATTTCAGTTAATCATAAAACATATCATGGTTTTATTTATTTATTTCTTTTTAAGTAATATCTGTCATATGTTTGTATAATTGTATAGTTAGTAATAGAACTATACTATAATATTCCTACAATAATGAAACAATAATGATATTTTATACATTGTTAGATGCACCTTACAACAGACTTGAGAAATATAATGTTACAAGCAGTTTTATAATTTAATCAATATTCTAACATCAAACAGTTTTGTATATTAACCCTGATGAAGCTGCAAAGGTGAAACATTGGTTGAAATAAAAATATATTCTTCAATATTTATCTGGAGTGTAAAGGTCCTTTTTTCTAAACTTTTATTAAAACATGTTAAGATGATTGAATATACAGTTCATATATGTATTGCTCTCTGTTAGAATGACAGCAGCAATATTTTAAAATAATTTCAATCAGTGTGGAAATTAAGCCAAAATTATTAATTTTTCAACTATGCTAATATTAGAAGATCAAAATTATGATATTCTGAATAAATGTGAATGAATAAGACAAATAAAAAAAAAAATATTAAGTATAAATAACAAAATATCTCCAGTGCTGCATCAGGTTATGAACATTTGTAATACTTTTGTGAATCTTTTATATATTCTTACAACAGTAAACATACTCTATGGCATTACTGCTGAGTATGATGTTACATTATAGTCAGTTTATATGTTCTAGAGAACAGTCACTTTTTCAAAATAACGAAGAAGGTGAAAAGTCTAGTTAAATACTATTTGAGGCATTATAGGAAAATACTTTGAGATACTTTTAGGGTCATTGACTGTAAATAGAAAAATATCTTGTGGTGAAGACTGAAAAACATTTAGAAAGTTCTTAAACTGATTGTTCATTGCAGTAGGCTTGGGATGATTTTGAGTTAATGAAAATACTCTAGAGTTCTTTATTAATATAAGGGTGTGAAAAACTTCTTATCCAAGGGACATAATGTTTAAAAAATATATACTCAAATTGTCCTTCATAAAAGTCTATTTGTTTCCTCTGCATCCATCAAAACACACAAATAGTAGAAAGTAGAATATAGCTTGTAGAATTTTGCTTTTATTTAATAATGAACACAATCAGTACAGTGTCATTGGTAACTCAGATTTTTTCAGAATGGCATTTACTGTGTTTTGCATCCAAGCTCTTCGTATGTGCCTCTGGTTTTTAACGTATAATTATTAGGACTATAAAGGACTGACAGAGTAGTAATGGTTTACAATAATGTTTCTACAAACCAAAATGATGATATACATATATAATAAACAGCAAAGCTTTTTGTAACTTTTATTTTGTTAGATAGTCTCTAGAATTGGCAGTCAAACTCAATGTTTTTGTTAATGTATATTTTTACTCTGTGTGTGTGACTGAGGGTGTGTTAACGAAGAATATGTGTATTTGTGCATGTAGTTTTGGTTCACATTTACAGGTACATGTTTTTAAATGTTTCTGTTTGTGCTAGTCTTCCATGGTTCATAATAATTTTCAGGAACTTTCGTTGTTCCCTAGAAATCTTATAGGGGTGTTTTCTAGCATGTATATGTTTTCTATATATATATCGAACAAGTAAGCAGAGTATAACAGTTGCACTTGTCTCTGTGACTAATATTGTTGTCCTGGGAGTTGGGAAACATGAATTCCACACACCTGGCCTTTTAGTGGTTCAATAGTATGTCTGTAAGTTTATAATGATAAAAATCGGATTTTGATACCTGTGATAAACACACCACAGATAGCCCATTGAGTAGCTTTATACTTAACAACAAACAAGTTACACTCCTGATATATTCAGTTGTAAAATTTATTTTAAAAAGTTTTATATGACTTAGCAATAATAATAATAGTTTGTTTTGTTTTTTAATTTTGCGCAAAGCTACACGAGGGCTATCTGTGCTAGCTGTCCCTAATTTAGCAGTGTAAGACTAGAGGGAAGGCAGCTAATCATCACCACCCACTGCCAACTCTTGGGCTACTCTTTTACCAACGAATAGTGGGATTAACCATCACATTATAACACACCCATGGCTGAAAGGGCGAGCATGTTTGGTGGGACTGGGATTCGAACCCATGACCCTCAGGTTGCGAGTTGAGCACTCTAACCACCTGGCCATGCCGTGCAAATGATAATAGACTTGAAGTTATTGCCTCAAATACTTTAATTTACATTACTAATTTTATTTATTCCAATGCTCAGATAGTTCACTGACAGTCATATTACCTTAAACCCTCAACAGTTTGAACATCTGAAATATGTTTCTATAGCTTTTTGTTGGTGTGCAGAAAACAAATCAATTTTTTTTTTCTCTTAGTTCAGATTTTAAAACTGAAGTTTTTGTTGTAATAGCCTATCACTGCATTCTTTGGTTACAGTAATTAATTTAATAATTAGATAATTTTTATTTTTGAATGATTTTTTTTGTCATTGATAACTTGTTATATTTTGCTCTATCTTACCGAAAAAAGTTACATACCACAGTGGTCACTTTGTAAAGGCATATAGTTGCTTGCTTGACCCTGTTTCTGTATGTGGTGTAGGACATATTTAAGATAAGGGGTGATACCGAGATTTATTTATATACATATATATATTTATGTAAGTGACTTGAGATTGTGAGAAACCACTCTAAGACTTTGGTCTGTCTTAACAGTGGGCTATTATCAGTTTACAGTTTGGTCTTTATCCTGTAAACAAGTTGAAACTCCGTTCTACTTTAACAGCCAGTAAGGTATAAAATATGACCAATATGATATAATAAGATGCCATGTAAAACATAAAACATGTAAAAAATAAAATTTAGTGCTCCTTGTTTTTATGCATGTGTTTTGAGTGTTCATTCCTTTGTTTTCCATGTTCATTAATATTCTTAATGAATCTGCTGCTCATTGTGGCTTGATACTTAACTGTTGGACATCATTGAGCCTGAATACCACACTTTCTTGCCATGAAAAATAATTTAGTTTATTTATTTTAAATGAAATATACTGACATACTGAATAAAGTACAATATACAGAATTTCATTGTATCATACAAATGTAGTAAAATTAACAATATAATGCCTGTGATTTGTTACACTTTTTCATTACTCAACCATTCAGTTCACTTGATTGAGCATGAAAAAATGGAAATAGATTAAGAATTTAGTTTGTTTATATTTTAATGTGTTTTTCTTTCTGTTAAGAAATCCTGGAAAAAAAATAAAAGTTGGAGATACAGATCTTCACTTTGAAAAGATTGGAAGTGGATCACACCATGTGCTGTTACTGCCAGGAGCTCTTGGTTAGTAGAAAATTAGGGTTATATTTCATATTTTATGCTAAAATGTATTTCAAAGAAATTTTGGACTGAAAGAAGGCCTAAAATTATCAAAAACAGGTTATTTAGCTATGCATATAACTATACAGGGGTAACTTATAATTGTAATATGTGGCATATCGTGGTTTCCATACTTTCTATAGTAACACAGAATTATTCCAAGTTATTGATAAGTTAGTTTCCACACTTTTATTATGGCAACACATGGTTCAGTATGTCTCTCATTATCTTATTCAAAGTATTTCAGCCCTCTTCTTTTGTTAGATGGCATCTTCTGCCCACATGGATATTTCAGAATATTTTGAGCTTGGTTAAAACTGGAATTTTGTTGGCCAAACTGTGACATCAATTAAGAGTAATAGCTTGCCAATGCTGTTAGGGAACAGAGGTCATGAGGTTATGCTATCACCTGGACAAAAAAACAAGCAAGTTGGTATTTGAGATCCAGGCACACTTTTTGGTTCAAATCTACTTGGCTTTCATTGTGACTAGTTTGGAAGAGATTCATCTTGAGAGATAAAAAGCTAGTGAGCTATTCACTGATTCAGTAGAGGCAATTTTCCACTTGTCTATGTAGATATGCACAGTGTGTTTTATGTTGTGTCTAAATAAAGATGGTGGTCACAACTATCTGTAATTTGTTCACACTTGAAACTGCCTTGGCTGCTTTACTCACTCCTAAATGCAGTCGCTGGCAAACGTAGTGCAGAGTGATGCAAAACAAATTGTTCCTTTTTTCAGGCCAGCAACCCTATTTTGGTCACTTAACATGACATTGGCACCATTCACTCCTAGACCCTGTGTCTGAGAATGAAGATGAATAAAACAATCAATATACAGCAAATGAAGCATATGTATAATGTATGTCAGATATACTTTGTCATGTTTATAAGCACCAGCCATGTGAAAGCTCAATAACTTAGATGAATTTTCCTTCTCAATGAGAACTCCACACTCCTTACACACAATGCAGAGCGTACTGTATATTGTTTCAGCCTTGCCATCCTTCACTTTCTAGATTTTGAGGTATGTGGTTTTTGCTCTGTCAGTTGATTCATACCTCCCAATGAAGACAGCAGGTTTCTCTGCAGCTCAATCTGTTGACTCATTCAGACTAATACCTAATATGGACTTTTCTGCACACCTTTTAGTGTATCTGTCACTAACATCTAGAAAGAGACACATAGTTAGCTTTTAGAGTATTATATTTATGGGTATGATACTTTTATGAAGCATTTGATTAAAAAAATAGACAGGATATGACTAGCTTTGCTCAATAAATCTTGCCTCATCAATAGCAGTCAGCAGCACATTAAAGCCAGTGTTGACTCTTTTGTTGATTTTTCTCCTCTTCTCATACTGATGATATCTTTCACATCAAGTTGATGCCGGAGATGTAGTAATGAGGCATATTTCCTGTTGGTTATCTCCTCTGCCACCAGCCAATAGACTGTTTTCATGGTAGCTCTATATGCTTTTTTCTACTCACTTGTAGCATGTTTTTTCACCAGCTCTAGGGTTTTTTTTAGATTAATCCTCTGCTGTTGCAGCAGTCATGTGTCCCTCCAATGATATATATGTGTACAGTGACTTCAACCTAAAAGAATAATACATTGCCAGTAGTATGATTAAGTAGTTTTGTCAAATGACAATATATTATATATGGAATTAGTGTATTTGGCAAAATTTATGTTTAAATAGGGTCTTGCTTTATATTATTTCATTTAAAAAAATCTTGAAAAATAATAAAATATCATTTTTATTTTCTCAATTTCACCTAAAATTATCAGTCCCACAAGTACTCCATACACTGCATTTTTCATGTTTTTTGCAGCACTAGCAAAACATTTTGTCCTTTCCTTCCTTATACTGTTTTCAGGCAGGTGTATGTAGTATACATTACAGATTTGCTTGACTCATGTAAACAATAACTAAGACCATAGATGTCAAGAGGTTTCTTGTTTGTGCAGGTACCTCATTACATGATTATCAGAACACCTCTAGCTAAGTGTGGTTCTTGGTATAAACAAGATATTTCAAGAATTTGTTTAAACCATGAGATTAATTAGCTAGCTTTATGGTTAGAATTAAGAGTCGAAAGGAGCTGTTTGTCCCCTACTGGTCTCCACTAAAGTAGAAAATTAAATTGTTTATAAATACATGGGTGGACTTTTTCGGGTCTCTTTCTTTGCTGTCTCTTGATAGATCTTATCCGAGGATGTTCCGGCTTCAGGGTTGGTTCTGGTACATTTTCCTGTCGTGAGAGTTGAGTTTTCTTATATAGACATCTTTTAGATACCAGATGTTAGGTTCCCAAATCAATATATCAAACTCCACTACACCTGCCATGTTCAGGTAGTGAAATGGTTATTGATTCTTTCTGATCTCTTGAACTTGTGGATGTCACTTCCCAGTGGTGAGGATTTTGGATGTAGTTGACATACCTATACGGTCTGTTGTGTCTTAGTCACTCTACATCTAGGGGCACATTCATTGTTCACCCACTTTTATATGGTGGGATTGACTTCCATATCATATGGTTTGGCACACTATCCAGCTGGAATTCTCATCCACTTTGATGTGCTCCGCTACTTTTCTGCTCATATCTCGTATCTATTTCATGTATGGGCGAAGAGTACTTGAAGTGATGGCTTAGTGAAAGGGTATAAAGGGAATCACATGACTACAACGCATTTGTGACGGATTTATTATTATATATTTATTTTAATTTATTGTTTAGATTAAATTTATATTTAGAAATACGCATAGCTTATACTGTTAAATATGTATTGCGAAACTCCCGCCTACTCTCTAAAATTGTAGAAGATTCTCGAGTGTAAGAATCAACAATATATGTGTGTATGTAAATGCCAGTGCAGCTTTGTATTGTTACGTGATCTGAATTTTCGAGAAACTCTCCACATGCCTATAAATATAACTAACGCGACATGCCTAGAAACGGTATCTATTATTGGGTTGCTGTAATTGGTGTGCTATAAACTCTGTAAGCTATAATTGTGATTAATGCTTATTAATTGGGAAACTTCGGATATTTGACCAGGAACGTTTATAAATTTCGAACATTGCAAACCATTTAACTTCAGTAAATTCACATCGGACATTAGTACTTTTACAAAAACATTACCTAACATCATCGGTAGAAACTCGACCTGTAATCGGTGTGTGATCAGTGAGAACTACAGGACTAGCTATCTCCTTATTAAGTGAATTTTACCTACATCAACTCAAAATTAACTCACTCATCGTGAACCCTCGATAAGGCATCAAGGAACTTCCAGACTAGAAAGAAGACTTTGTATTGCTTGTTAGTTTGTAAAACTTTTGTATATAAATCATTGTTTCTAATAACTATTTGAAATAACTGTTATTGTAAATTGTATTATTGTTTGTGTATTAAAATAGATTTGTATTAAAAAAAGAAGAAGAAAACTGTATGTGTCAATCTTATTGGCAAATATCATGAATTGGATACATATCAGCATATTTAACTACTAAATCTAAATTACAATTTAGTTTCATACCATTTGAAATTGTAATACATAACACATTCCATTGGTGGAGTAGTGACGCATACTGATTTGCATGAGAGACATGTTGGAATCACTAAATCCCAATAGGGGGGAGCAGAAGGTTTGTGGCATGCATTGGTCAATACTCATATTCAGGTTAGCAATTAGTCTTAATTGTATCTTTTCTCCTATAACATTCGCTTAATCTTACTACGCCTCGAGTTTAGGGGCCTACACATTTTGACATACAGTCCGCTGACTTTGAAAGGTTAGAATTTACTGTTGTGGTTTTTGAATAATTTTATTTTTAATATTATTATCTGTAGTTATTTAGGTTCCATAACATAAGTTTTGTTATATTGGTCAATGTTCATATTCAAATTCAGGTTAGCAGTTAGTCTTAATTGTATCTTTTCTCCTATACCATTCGCTTAGGCTTACCATGGTCTTTGTTATTTTAGAATTACATGTAATTCATCGTACTTGTTTATCATTCATTAGTTTAACTATATTTTTTTCTTACATACATCATGTCTCATAGATGTGTTAGTTACTACACACTTACTTAATTTTATACAATCATGTCTATTTCATTTTTGTTATTTATCTTTTATCCGTTTTCCAATTCACTTAGTTTGTGTGAAACACTTGAGCCGGAGTCCACACAAACTTCTCCCAATATTATGCATACTTATTGTTAGGTTAAGATTTTTATTTTAGTGGTTAGTGATATCCTTTGTTCTGCACTGTTCAATTAGGCTTAATAAGTGTTTGTTATTTTTGATTTACCTGTAGTCTTTCTTCTGGGTTACTCGATAATTAGATTAAATATCTTGTTTGATTAGGCTTAACAAGCATTATTTTTGGCTTACAGGTGGTTCCATTTCCTGGTTAATCGATAATTAGGATAAATATCTTTTCTTCAACACATACCATCATATACATATGCTTATTTCCCTACACAGTTTCTTATTATTTCCACTATATTGACTATGTCCCTTTCATCTTTCTTTATTATCTATACTTCTTACCATTAATTTCGTTTGTGAGGGCCACTGGGGACTTGTGTCCACCTTACCTGCTCCCAATATTGCTTGCCTTCCTCGTATAATGGCTGAACCCATTTACAGACAACCTAGATTTTGTCAGTTTTCCTCCACCTTATCATGGATTGCCTTCCAGGTCTCTACTGCAGAATCTACTAGGCTTATCTCTTTTGTCTTTTTTTAAGACACATTTCATTTCACAATATATTCTCCTTCTCATGGCATTGTTTCGTGATGATCTTTTTGTCTCTCTTTTGAGAGTTGGTATTTGCATGCCTTGCCCTATACAGGCTTTAATTATTTTTTGCCTTAGCTTACCATCAGGCAGATTGTCTTCCTGATCTTTCACATTTGCATCTTTGTTAATATTATCCATTTTATCCCCTATGTAGTTTTTTAGCTTTGTTTTACCCTATCAACTCTCCTCCAGTTAATGTTTACCTTTCACCTTTTTTTGGTTGTTCCACTTATGTTTAAGCATTTTCATGAGATACCTCCTCCTCCTTCACTCCATACCGGAGTGTTTTCCACCTTCAGTTCTTTCCCTCCATACATGGCTTCTTTGTCTTTGGGATTTTCTAGAGTGGAACACTACTGTTTGTTTACCATCAACTGCTAATAGGGACTTACGGTCAGTTCTTTTTCACCATTTGTCCATTTTGTTAGGCTTTCCTGTACATTTAGCATTACGTGGGGTATTTGCAATGCTATATTAATTTTTTTTTCACTTTTGTTTCATTATGAGATATCATAATCTTTATCCATTTTACTTGTTCGGCTCCTTCCCATCCGTTACTTGTTTTACCTACGGGTTTCCTTCATTTGTCTTGTATGCTCAATGCTGATTGGGATTCTGGATCATTCAGTCCCACCTCACTCAATTCTTGGGTTTTCCCCATTTTAATATGTTTTAGACTGTTTCTGCATGACTGCCAATGTCCATGGTACACAATCTTATCTTCGTTTTTCACCAAGTGATTTGGTACCAGTTTTGTGCCATTACCTTTGGACTTGTTTTGGTTCCATATGTCTTTTGTGTGGTGGTATGCATTTTACCTGACTTCCACATTTTGAGGAATTTTACCTACACCATTCTTTGGATGTCTAGCTTCAGTTAGCTCCTTCCAAATGGGGGTAGTCTTAACATACACATCTATTCCTTCCACAGTCAGCTCAGGTAGTTGGATTTTTCAGTTAGATAAGTTTTTCCTGTTACATACATCACCTTCTAGCCTCTTTGAGCTGTGTATTTTTAAAGACCCTCTCCATTGGGGCCATCCATTCTCCTCCTCCTCCTCAAATGCATTTGAAGGAGTTTTCTGTTATCTTAGCCTGTACTTTATGTTTCCCTCTTTGTCTATATGTGTTGATAGTTGAACATACCCCTCACAACATTGTATTTACTGCTTCTTCCTCCCCCCCCCCCTTTGGATTGTTTCTCTTCCCTAGCAGTGTGGTTTGATCAATAGTCTACAGACAAAAGGTCTTATCCCCTTCACACCCAGGCACTCTCTTCTTCTTGTCCGGTTATGACTAATCCTGTTTCATTTCGACTTTTTGATGGTGGTGGCTTATATCATTCACCAAGAGGACACTCATTTTTATTCCCTTTGTTGTGAATAGTGGATTTCCTTCTTTGAACTCACACACTTGAGAAATGTCTCCTGGAAGGTTGTGTTCCAGGCGCATTGTCCTCGTTGCTGATTGACTTTCCAGTCCTGACATACTTTCTGCCTAGGAGTGACTATGTATGAATGTGGGATTCTAGTTAATCTGAGTTATTATCTTGGAAGTTAATATCTATTCTACCTGAAAATTTATTTCTGATAGATACTCTCCTCTGCACATATGCCCACACATCCTCCTCACATTTTCTTACCTCATCAAAGAATGATGATTTACAGTGCAAATGCATAGGGAGAATTAGTGCTCATGGCAGTGTCTCACCCTTCTATTTTTGAAGGATTTATGTTGCATAGTGATGATATCATGCAGTGGCACAAGTGACGTAAAATCACATCAAATTAGGTGAAAGTTGCTTCAAGACTAGTGGAAAGCAAATTTTTTGGCAGATGTGCTAATCTGTGTGGGGGGATGAGAATCTATTGGAAATAAATTTTCAGGTAAGAAAAACATTAACTTTAAAAGTCTGAATAAACAGAATAAAATATAAAAATCAAACAGATGCAAGACTATTACAAAACACAACATCAAATACACATTTTAACCCTCATTACTTACAGGTGAAAGGCAGTGTTGTAGTCGAGACCTCGTAATAAATTATATGATTAAAAATAAAGCAAGAAGAATAAAAATCACATGTATCAAACTTTTTTACATGTTAACTTCACAGTCTTTTTTTTAACATCTCCTCCAATGAAGAAAAAAAAGTACGAATATAAATAAAATCAAAAAGGTCAGGAAATTAAACAAAAGAAAAACTGTTGTTGTTTATCAAGAGTTTATGGTGTCATTGAATTTGTTATTATAATTAAAGCCAAGAAAGATCACAGCAGATCTACTAGATGTGTTGAATATCGGGGATAATTGCTAACATTTGTCGTAAATATCTGCACAAGATTAAGTTCATACAAACTTGTAATAAGCCTATGTGTAATGCAATGTATAGTAGCAATTATTTTTGAATAGTTCATGTTATACATCTTTGTTATACTATGTCTTGTATGAACTGCTGCATAATTGATATTTAGTGCTTAATAATCATGGGTAGGTCTAAATACTGGTAAAACTTTTAAATTTAGCCAGTCTCATTTTCGAGACCTACAACACTGGTGAAAGATAATTAAAATTTATTGATATTGTATGCCAATAAAATTGGCATCACAACATAGTTTATAATTAAAATTTTAATATCATATATGTTTTAATTTCTTAATTTAAAAAAAAATAGTTAAAAAATTCCAAATATGCTTTTTTGTGTGTCATATGGCATGTCTTGTGTTATTACACAGTTTATTTTATTATGCCTATCATAAAACATTTATAGCAGTTATTGAATTATAAACTCAAACTTCAGACATTTAAAATTTAGAATATAAAATAAGAATCTGTTTGATTTGCTGAGATATCATTATATTTTACAAACCTATGAGTGTTGCCCTGCCCACTACTCCATTCTTTTGAAACCTCTTATCTACTCACTCCTACTTCTCTTGAGTACATGTTTATAACCAACAGAAAGAGCACAATCCAAGCTATGCTGATCTGACAATCATTTGTAATTCAATTGAAAAAGTCTATCTAATGGCAGGAGTGGTGATTCATTGCTTTATGATTGGCAGGTTTCTACTTCACCTGCTAATAGTAAAATAAACATAGGAAACAGATGTAAAAAGGTTAGAAGTAGAAACTCTTAAGGGAAGTACTTTGGAACATCTAAGGAGGCTAGAACAGTACTGCTCACTTTATTTTGCATTCTTCAACCTTTAAAGTTTTATAGTGGTTATGAGATCGGTCAAATTGACTGACCCTGTGTAGAATTAGGGTACAGAAAATATCAGATAAAATGTAAATTTTTTCGGAAAAGAAAAAATGTTTGATATTTATTTATGAGGTTTTAGTGCTTATGCAAAATAAATTTGAAGATTTTAAGATGAAGAAAAATATTTTTTATCTTTACATGAAAATCACTTTGCACTCCAATCAGTCAACATTCTGACTCCATATATTTATAGACAAATGTTTAATTAAAAGTTATGATTTTTTTTGTCTATGAATGATTTGTAATGCTTACTAAAAGCTTGAGAAATTTGTGAGGATACACAAAACATGTTAAAAGTTATGTTATGGAACTCTGATGGTAACTATAGGGTCACATGGTCAGTGTTATCTACTTAGGCAGTAGCAAAAGAGTTAACTTGTTTCATGTGCTCAAGTGCCTAAATTTTTTGAAGTAGTTCTTTAGATTTTATTCTTTCTGTTGTATTGTAGTTATAAAAAATTTAATTTTTTTTTACTTAAATTCAGGTTCCACACAAACAGATTTTAAACCTCAACTGGATGGTCTAAGCCATAAGAAATTCTCTCTTATTGCATGGGATCCTCCTGGCTATGGACACAGCAGACCCCTTCAGAGAAAGTTTTCTACAAACTTTTTCTACCAAGATGCTGAGTTAGCTGTTGCATTAATGGAGGTTGTGTTTTCAGTAGCTGTTTTAAAGTTTTACTTTCAAAAGTGGGAAGATACTTCTAAGATTTCATTTATTACAGTAAATTGATTGAAGTAATGCTTTAGATATTTTTGATGATTAATGGTAGTTAAACTTTTGAAAACCAAGATAGAAAAAATTTCTATAACTAATTAAATATAATTGAGTTTGCCAGGATTTATTTTATATTTGAAAGACTTGTACAACAGAAATTTTAAAATCCATCTCTTTTTGTTACTGTAGAATAGATGAACTCTGAAAAGTAGGGTTGTAATGCAGTGCTTTAGATAATTTTTGCAATGATCTGTAGTCGGGTATTGATCAAATTTTGTTTATATCAGTATCTGCCAAAGGTGGTCAGTAATTCAGTATCACAGTATGCTGATTTATATAGCAGTTTGAAGGTATTAATATTCTCATATTATTATTATTATACAAAGTAAAATATGAAAAGTTTAAAATGATAATTAGTCTAAGTTATCCCTATCATGAAATTCACATTTCATTATGGAACTTGGGACTGGTATGTACTTTAAAGGAAGCTAGAAATGAAGATGTGCAATTTGTATGTAGAGTTTGTAGGTTGGAGGCTATCATAATTAAAGTAGAGGCAATAGATGAAGAGAAGTGTAAACTGGGAAGTTGCAGCAGGATTTCAAGAGGAGCTTAAGCTTTTACATGCAAGGAATACATCAGCTAACAATGACTTTCAGGAAGTTAGAAAGAGTACTATTTGGGCTAAAACTAAAAATAAGGGCTGGCTCGTTTGCTACGGCTATTAACTCAGCTGTAAGGGACGTTTTAAACTAGTACTAGATAGTGGTGAGGGCCAGGATAAACTAAATGCAAAAAGAATGAGGCAGAGAAGAGTTTTGCATAGGAAATGAGTATAGAAGCAGTTCTAAGAATAGGCATAATTGTTACTATTGTAATGCTAGAAGTATACGAAATAAAATAGATGACTTTAGAGCACTGGTAGGAATGGAGGATTTTCAGGTAATGGGAATAACTGAAATATGGTTAAACGTAGATGACATTGATGACAGAAATCTCTTTGTAATACAGGGTTACAGGCTATTTAATAGGGATATAGTACTATTAGGGGGAGGGAGTGACTTTATATGTAAAATGCGAGTTACATCCTGTTGAAGTTGAGGATATCAAAGATAATAGTAAGGAGATTGGATCCATTTGGGTTTCTATTAGTGGATATAAAGGGCAAACGCTTTTAGTTGGAATTTGTTACAGACCACCAAATGGTACTGATGAAATTAGTGAGAAACTTTACAATGAGATTAAAATTTCAGCTGTTCATGAAGTCATAATTATGGGTGATTTTAATTTCAGGCACGTAGATTGGGAAATGCTGGAGTCAAACTGTGAGGGAGAAAGTTTTTGAAACTGTTCAAAATAGCTTTCTTCACCAATTAGTCAAGGAACGTACTAGAAACAATGCTATTTTAGATTTATTGTTAACTTCAAATATAGAAATGATTGTAAGGGTGAAATTGGGGAACATCTGAATGCAAGTGATCATTGCTCTATTACGTTCAATGTTTTGCTGCATATGGAGATAAGGTATAATGATATTTCGCTTACAAATTTCAAAAACTAAATATTGAAGGGATGTGACATAAATTATCTGTTGTGAATTGGGCAGCCGAGTTATTTGTATAAATTTTTTAATATTCAACATATTCCTTATAGAAAGAAAAGGGTAGTAACAAGTAAAAAAAAACAAGGTTGGCTCACAAAGAGTATAAGAGATAAAATTATAGTAAGGCATCATAAATTTAAGAAATTTAAATTGACTGGTAAGATGAGATTTTGAAGATCAAGAAAGTTGGTGAAACAGGAAATTAGGGCATCAAAAAGGATGTATGAAAGAAAATGTAAAAATTAACAGTAAGGATTTCTTTAAATACATTAAGGGAAAACAAAATGTTAGGATGAGGGTAGGACCCTTCAGGGATGATACAGAAAGGCTTTTATCTGATAATTATGAGATGGCTGGGTTATTAAATTTTGCTTTTTCTTTGATTTTTACTAACAAAGATTTCAGCAGTATTCCACATTTTGAAGAGTTGATAGATGGAAACAAGATCAAATAAGAGGACTGCATTTATTCTGAGCTGGTTAATAAAAAATTTGGAAGTTTAAAGAACGATACGACTGGGTCAGATAATATTTCCCCAAGGGTTTTGAAGGAGGTTAAAGATTGGATATTTGAGCCACTTGCTACAATTTTTTGTCAGTCCTTGAGTAGTGGGCAGGTACCAGAGGGTTGGAAGTTAGCTAATGTAACTCTTCTTTTCAAGAGAGATTATTAAAATTGTCCCAGTAATTATAGACCTATTAGTCTTACATCAGTTGTGGGAAAAGTTTTGGAAAGTCCGATAAAAGATGCTTTGCAAAGTTATTTAACAAAGTTTAGAATTTTATTGTATTGTCAACATGGTTTCACTATGGGAAAATCTTGCCTTAGAAATCTTATGGAATTCTTTGAAAAGGTTACTGCTTATGTACATGAAGGTATTGATGTAAATTTGGTGTATCTGGATTTTCAGAAAGCATTTTACAAGGTGCCACATGAAAGGCTTGTAAAAATAAAAAAAATTCTCTCTCTATAGATGTGGGGAATAAGTTAGCAAATTGCATAGAAGAGAGGCTGGATGGAAGAAAGCAGAGAGTTGTTACAAATAGAGTTCAGTCAAACTAGATTAATGTCACAAGTGGGGTACCTCAGGGCTCAGTATTAGGACCTTTGCTCTTTTTGATTTCCAGTCAATGACATAGATAAAGGTATAGT